GACGTTGCGGGGTCATCGATGCGCCAGTTCCTCGGAGGTGTGGGGACTGCCATTACGACGACAGAAGGTATTCTTGTTTACCCCATACAAGTTATGAACAAGAAGAGAAAGGTTGTCTCTTTAATCATGTATTCTGCTGATGATGGCAAAACATGGAGGTTTGCAAACGGGATGACGGATCCCGGGTGTACTGAGCCCGTTGTCCTTGAGTGGGAAGGGAAGCTCATCATGAACACTCGCGTTGACGTCGGCTATCGCAAGGTGTACGAGTCCACAGACATGGGGGAGACATGGAGGGAGGTTGTCGGGACACTCTCCCGGGTGTGGGGCAACTCACCAACACGGGAAGGACCCGGCAGCCAGAGCAGCTTCATCCCCGTAACGATTGGAGGTAAGCGTGTGATGTTGTTTACACATCCATTGAATTTCAAGGGGAGGTGGGAGCGCGACCGACTCCACCTGTGGCTGACGGACAACAATCGCATATTTGATGTTGGTCAGATTTCCGTTGGGAGTGAGAATGCCGCTTACAGTTCACTGCTCTACAAGGATGACAAGTTGTATTGTTTGCACGAAACTAATCTTCAAGAGAAGTATAGTCTTGTCTTTGTGCGCCTGATTGATGAACTAAATCTGATCAAGTCAGTGGTGGCGTCTTGGGTGGCGCAGGATAACTACTTCTCGCACATTTGTACTCCCACGGATCCTCAGTCTCCACCCCGTGAGAATGGATGTGGCGCTCCTTTCCCAACCGCCGGACTTGTTGGGTTCTTGTCAGAGAGTGTTGAAGAGGGCGTCTGGCACGATGTCTACCACTGCATGGGGGCCAACGTGATCAATGCAGAGAAGGTTCCTGGTGGTTTTAAGTTCAAGGGAGGTGGAGGCGGTGCGCAGTGGCCAGTGGGTAGGCAGGGCCAGAACCAGCTTTACCATTTCGCAAACTACATGTTCACCCTGGTGGCGACGGTGTCAGTTAATGAACTTCCGGCAGACGACAGCGCGACGCCGCTGTTGGGTGTGAGTCTGGACGACTCTGGGGAGCACAAGCTTCTCGGGCTTTCGTACGGGAGCAACAAGCGGTGGATACCAATATATGGTAAGCGTCATGTATCGTCTACGCAGCTGTTGGTGCCGAATAAAACGTACCAGGTGGTTCTCACGTACCAGGACGGGGTGGGCTCTGTCTATGTTGACGGTGAGCCTTTGGAGGAATCGGGGAAGAAGCTTCCGGGTATATCAAAAGAAGGGATTAAGGTTTCGCACTTCTATATTGGCGGGTATGGGAGCCGGAGAATGAGGTCCGACAGTCACGTGACGGTGACTAATGTTCTTCTTTACAACCGTCAGTTGAACCAGAACGAGGTGAAGACAGTCTTCTTGAACAGAAACAA